GAGGCCCAAGGAGAGGCTGGGAGGCAGACTGGGTGATCCCAGGAGCAGTCTCAGGACTTGTTTCAGTTTCCTCCGCTCCCCCAGAGTGAGCAACCAGGCAGGTCTCAACAATGTACTTGGAACGGAACAAGATGTCCAGTCTCTGTCTTCAACATGTAGCTGCCGAGAGCTGCCACAGCTGGGTTTATAAAACCAGGGTAGCAGTCCCCTCCTGCCACCTTCCTGCCCCTCCTGCCACTCTTCACAATATAGTTCAGTCGTTTGCCCCAGTGACATACTGTCCTATTTCAACACCTCCCTGACTCCCAGAAGAATTTTTAAAGTCCTGAAGGTGGGATGAGCTCCTACAGACCTGGGATGAATGAAACTGCTGGTTTCATTTATGTGGCCTGCTTATGGGCTCCCATGGGGGACATGGCCGTGTGAGGGTTGGGGTCAGTGTGTGGGACAGGAGGCGCTGGGGAAGGAGGGCGCAGTAAATGGCACATTCTCAGTCTCGGCTGGTTGGGCGACCAGCGGGTCATTTGTTTTATCATCTCTGGAATGGCAGACTCTAGATCCTGTAATCACAGGTCGATGCGGCTGTTTGGGGTGACAGCTTGGGTCTGGCGAACTCCTACCCAAGGCAGCTTTGGCTGCACCAGAGAAAGGAACCTCTCACATAAGGGAGCCTGAGAGGGTATCTGACTAACTCCTGTGGGATGGGCAAAGTGACTTACAAGGACTTTTCCTATTCCTTCTATTGATAAAAATTGGTGGAGAGATAACTTGTGCTTTCTTTAGACACGTCAACACAAAGTGATTTGGCACAGTAGGTTTCCTTCATCAGCGTGACACTTTACCCATACTTAGTGCTCAGTTAAGTGTTTGTGTGTGATTAACTGCTCATTTCTATAAGTGTAATGAAAAGAGCATTGGATTTGGACGTTTGAATTGCTTTCTGCCATATTCTAGCTGTAGGATATTGGGCAGTGTGATAGATGCTGTCAGCCTCCTGCCCATGTTCCCTTGGCTTCCACCGATGACTGAAGGGAGAAGGTGTATAAATACTCCAGCCCCCTCACCTCTCTGTTGGGATAACCTTGAGGGATGTTCTCTGCTGTTCCTAAGAGTTCCCCAGCAGGCCTGAATCCCAATCACTCATGGTGGTAAGTGGCTCCCTTCGTTGGCTGCCTTCCCGTCCCCATCTCACTGCCCCACTCCCCTTGCACTTGCACTTGAGTCCCTGTCTCAGGGTCTACTTGTGGAGGAAACCAACCTAAGACAGGCTTTTGTATATGGTGAAAAAGTCATTTAAAGTCTTAAGTTCCCCAGCTGTAAGATGGAAATTATAATAAGCATCTCACAGTAACACTGTGAAGATCAAATGAGCTATCATATGTGTTCAGGCAGTGGCCTGGCATATAGCAAGCATGCAGGAAAGCATTTGTCTATATTTGTGCCCACCATGGGGCACTCATTGGTGAGTATTGGGGGGGGCTATAATGGAGTCGAGAGCGAAACACGGTGGAACATGCAGAATTCAGTACTTTGGAGAGAGGCTGTCCTTATGTTAGGTGAGGAAACTGAGGTCACCTACTCACAGATTGCCTTCCTAGGTTGTACCCAGTGATTTCTTGGTTGTGACCAGTGTTTAACCAACTGGCTCTTGGAAGGGTGGGGTGGAAGCAGCCCTGCTTGGCAGCGTTTGCCAATTTCTACGGTATAAATATTCCTACCATGGCTGATTTCAAGCTGCCACATGGTGTCACTGAGCACTGAGTTACTGAGTTGGGAAGAGGTGAGCACCTCCAGCCCTTGAGAGCCAGTAGGAGCCAGCTCCGGCACACATCTAGCCATGACTGAGCCAGCAGGTGACCCCAGTGATCTCAATTTCCAATTTTGTACATGGGAGAAGGGAAGGGAAAAAGTGGAACAAGGGGCAAAAAACTTGGCATATGTTCCAGCTCTGCCCTGAACAGGTTGAATCGCTGTGAGTGAGACACTTCTGGGCTACAGCTAAAGAAGACTGAAATGTTTACACTGTGAGTCTTTCTGAGCCTCAGTTTCTCTATCTCCAAGGCCAGGGATTAGAGGATTCCACAGCTCCCTTCTAGCCCTTGATCTCTTTAGGAAGAATCTGGTGCCTCATCCTGTTCATACAAGAACAAAACCTTTAACCACAGAAAACCTGCCATGTGCCTACACTTGTGTTGCCCAACATGGGGCACCCAGTACTGGGGCATCCTAGAGTCTTTCTTGCTGGACAAGGGAATTCAGTAGACATTAACCCAGTATAATCCAGGCTTTCTTATATACCAGTTTCACTTCATGGCATAGGCATGGTGTGTCTCCACAAGAGGCTCACGGTAGGAGGGGCTGGTTTCTCATTGACAGCACAGTCCCTTTCTGATCCACTACGCAATGTCATAAATGTCCAAGTGGAATCCAAAGAAAGTCTGTGTGGAGAAAGAGACTTTTATGTGACAGAATTCAACATCCTTGTGTCCTTTTACTGTTTTTTTTTTTCTTTAATGTTGGGGTCTTGCTGTGTTGCCCAAGCTGACCTCAAACTCCTGGGCTCAAGGAATCCTCCTGCCTCAGCCTCCTGAGTCTGAGGAGCTGGGACTATAGGAGGTGTAGTTTTAGTCTTAATGCTCTATTGAAAACCCTCCCGAGGGAGTCCTTGACTCAGCAATTCTACTCGTAGGAATTCTTATCCTAAGGATATAATTAGGCAAATGCAGAAAAATAAGTGTATAGGGATGTCCCTTGCTGCATTATTTATAATAATGACAATAGCAGCAAAAAAAAAAAATGGAGACTAAATGCCCAACAGTCATAAATTAGTTCATTATTGTATATCTGTACATTGGAATACCATGTGGATGCAAAAATGTAAGACGTAGATGTGCATCTGTTAACATGGAAAAATATGATATATTTCTAAGAAGCAGGTTAACAGTGTGATATGTTTGCAAAATATATCACCCATTTATATTTGCATGTGAAAGGATATATGGGAAAATGTTAATAGTGATTGTCTCGCGGTGGTGGAATTTTGGGAGATTTTGGTCTTCATCTTTTTTTATATGTAATTCCTTTTATTTTTTATTTTTAATTATGGTAAAATATATATATTAGAAAATTTACCCTTTTAGTCATTTTTAAGTACAATTTAGTGGCAGTAAGTACATTCACAGTGTTGTGCGACCATCACCGTTACCCATTTCCAGAACTTTTCCATCATTTCGAACAGAAACTCTGTGCCCATTAAATAATAACCCCTCATTCCCTCCCACCCCCAGCTCCTGGTAACCTCTGCTGTACTTACTGTCTGCATGAGTTTGACTACTCTAGGTACCCCGTATAAATGGAATTGTACAATATTTGTCATTTTGTGGATATTAATCTTTTTGCTTATCTGTATTTTTAAAATAAAACAAATAAGAAATGTTTATTTTACTTGTGTAGCACAAAGGAAAGGCAAGCCCTGGGAGAGAGTTGTGGTATTTGGCCTTGGTGGTTCCATTTCAGGCTGGACCACAGGGTCCAGGGCATCCTTCCTGCCCTGGGGCAGGTGTCGGGCTGTGACCTCCGTGTCAGCCTGGCGGGACAAAGGCAGGCAGCCAGGGGTTGAGGAGTACGGCCCCCTGGCCTGGGAGCCGACCACAGTGTGGCTTTTGCTGGTTGCCTGCTGCTGAGTCATCTCACCCCAGGGTTTGCTGTGCATGCTGGTGGGTTTGGAAGGGTGGGCTTGTGGTTCACGGGGCAGCTGTTCTGCAGTGAGTGAGATTCCAAACCAGGTGGAGGTGGGGTTGTCGACACCAGCTGCCTTGAAGCTTGAGAGAGTCTCAATTTTTCGATTTCAAGCATCCTTTGCGTGCTCTAAACCCTGCGGCTGGACTGGACCTGCTGAACACCCATCAGGTGGTTGTGTCTGTGTCTGTCGGACGCAGCTGTTGCTCTCCTGTGTGTCGCTGGGGCCATGGCGCACGAGGTCGGGGCAGTGAGGCAGTGTGTGCAGTTCAGTTCTCATGGGGAGGCTGCGGGACCCAGAACTGGGAAACTAGGTCACGTGAGTCTATTCAGGGATCACGCGAGTGGGTCAGGTGGCTTTTCTCTGGGACGCCTTGTTCTGCCTCAAATACTTCAAGTTCCTTGTTAAGTGAGTTCCCCGAAGCACTTGTCCTGTAGGTCCAGAAGGGCTCTCAGGTGTACCTGGCTCTGCCTGTTTTCCGTCTGCCCAGTGGGCAGCTGCTATTTTAAGCTCTGGCAGTTAAGGAAGTGCAAAGATTTCACAGAGACGCCTTTGAAGGCCATTGTGAGGAGCAGTTCTGTTTTTCATGGTGCTGACTTTCCTTCAGGGTTAGTCAGCTGGTCACAGGGCAGGGCCGAGTGGGGAGGCTGTGAATGTGGTATTGTGGCAAACTTCCCCTCAGCCTCCTGGAAATGTTCTGGAAACCCCCAGATGTGCCATCTCTCCTGGCCCTGCACAGGGCCCGCCATCTGCTGGGGGAGGGTGGATTTCCCCGCGTGTGATGTTGGGTGTAGACAAGGAGGGTGGATGCAAGACGCCCCCACGATGGCTGCCCCTTTCTTCGCTCTCCCCCTCACTGCCTCTCGCCTCCAAGGAACCTGCCCATCTCAGGGTGGAGGAGACCCGCCAGCCTGGCCTTTAGGCTTCCAATCCTGTCCCCAGGTAGCAAGCAGAGGAGACCCCAAGGCCTCTGCACGCAGAGCTCAGAGTCTCAGCCTATAGCACCAAAAAGGAAGAACTGGTGGGGTTCCCTTTAGGAAGGGGATGTGAGCTCAGAGATGAGTCTCAGAGAGACCTGTGACTTGGAAACCACCTGGTAAACAGGAAGTGTGGCTATCAAAGAAACCTGCGCTTGTAGGAAGTGGGGAACCGGAGGCAGCCCCTCCTCACCTGCCGGGATCCGTCAGCCTGTCTCTGCAGAGCTGAGAGACCAACCCGCACACGGGTGAGTGGGAGCACCAAGTGACACAGGCCTCAGGCACTCCCTGCAGCCCCAGGTAGGACATTAAAACCACCCTATAAAATAGTCCTCCATTTTGAGAAATGCAGATTAGGGTGTGTTTAGTCCTCTTTGCTTTATTAGAGCCAGAGTTTTCTCCACCAACTTCCCACTCTCCCCTCGGGCCAAACCTGTCACATGGAATTTCTCACTTGTCTGCATCTGAGCCCACGATGGGGTCTGTCATGGCTGGGTCCCTCTGGCTGAAGGTCATAGAGGTGCTGCTTCAGGGAGGCACATGTGACCAGGCTCTTTCTTGCCCGTCAGTAGATATTGGGGGTTTAGCGTTCTAAGTCTCTGGTTTCTCCGAGCCAGAGTCTAAATTCTGCACATGCTGACCACACACACACACCCATACACATGGACACATGCCACACCTCCACACACACATGTGAACACACACATATCCACATACATGGACACATCCCCCCATACACATGGAAACAGGTCACACCCCCACGCATGGACACACATACATACACACATATGAACACACATCCGAACACATGAACACACACACACCCATACACATGGACACAGCCCCACACACCCGTACCACAGACACATCCATATGCATGGACACACACACATCCACTCCTATACACACACACACACACGGACACACACACCCCCATACACATACACCACACGCACACTCACGCACACACCCATACCCATACATTCACACCCACTCACACATACAGCTTTTTCTGTCTGGAGTTTTTACTTTCTCTGTATCTCTTTTTCTGTCCTCCTCCAACACCCTGCTTCTCTGATAAGAGCTGAGGGCCTTTGGGTTTCCTTCTAAACATCCATCCGGAAGGTCAAAGCTTGCAGACGCTGGAGAGACTTCCCTATAAACATGTGGCTGCTCCTCCGGCCTGCGAGGCTATTGTTTGGGCGGCCCCAGTGGTGGCCTTCCTGGTCACTCACCTGGCCACCCGCCCGCTGGCATGGTGCGGAGGAGTCCCACAACCGCTTCCTCGGATCTTCCGCTGTCGTGCTGGGGAATTCAGACCTGTGTGCCAGGCCTGAGCAGGGAGGGCCGGGGCGCAAGAAGAGTGAGGGCTTTGCAGGCCGACCTGCTTGGGGGAACCCCAGCTCTGCCCTGCTGCACCTCGGTCCCTCCTGTACAGGGTGGGCAGCAGGGGTGGCCTCTGGAAGGGCCTGTGCCTGTTGCTCGTCAGGCATCGAGACTTTTTCTGGGAGCAGGTTGGGGACAGTGTGTGGGGCCCGCGAGTGTGAGGAGTAGGTCATTGCTGGACAGAGGGTGACGTGGGGTGAGAGTCAGTGGCTCTGTGCACGCAGTGCCCAGGTCTTACTCTGGGTCTCCCTCCCTGGCCTCTGCAGGGTCTGCTCTTCCCACAGCTTGTCCTCTGGGCTGGTCACTCACTTACCTCCCTTCCCCAGGACAGGCAGGCTGCTGTGGGCTGGAACTGAAGCCAGCCTGCACCTGCCTGCCCTGTAGCCAGTCGTTCACATCCCGCTCTCAGCCCGGGCACCACAGAAGGGGCACTGGGCTTCATGTTGGCTGCGTGACCAGGGACAAGTCACCCAAGTCCTGGGACCTTCTGTTTCCTCATCTGTAAAATGGTGAAAATAAAACCTCCCCCCGGGAGTTCTTGGAGGGACAGAGATAAAGCATCTAGAGCCAGCAGCTTCAGCATCTGGGAGCTTGTTAGAAACACACCTTCTCGGACCCTGCCCAGAATTACTGAATCAGATACTGGGGCGAGGGGCCGGCACCCTGTATTTTAAGGAGCCCTCCGGGGGTTCTGATGCACACTCAGGTGGGAGAAGCTCACCTCTGGAATAGAGCCGGGTCAGTTGATTTTGGGCTGAAAGCTCTTTCTTCCTCTCCACCCCGAGAACAGCTGTATAAGGGTTCTATTTTGCAGCTGAGCAGTCCCGGATTTGAGCCCCAGCTCCGCCCCTTGCTAGCTGTGCATCTTTGGGAAAGTCGCTCAGCTTCTTCGTGCCTCAATTGCTTCATCTGCAAGATGGGGATAATAAAGTGTCTTTCTTAATGGGGTTGTTGTGGAGATTAGAGTCGAAGCAGGTAAACAGCGGGCGCACAATAGGGTCTCAGCTATGGTAGCTGTCTGTTATTCACATTTGTTGTTTTATTACTATTAGCATGAAAATCTCCCTGATTTGTTCTGTTACCAATTTGTGGGGGAGAAAAATGTCGAGGGCCCCCTGCAGCTCGTCTTCTGCTAGTTCTCTTGAGCTAAGCCCCTTTCTACCTGCCCCCTAGGTGCTGTCCGTCCTCTGGAAGGGCAAGGCGGCTTCTTCCCAAATACCGTCCTCTTTCTCTTCCCTGATGCTTAACACTTTAACTGCCATGTGAGTTGTATTTAACTCATGCTAGTTTTGAGCCCGGGGCCTCGTGAAGCATATGAAGACTCAATTCTCCAAAATGAATTCAATAAGTATGCAGTGAGTCACAACTCAGTTGGCGTGCAGTGTAAAAATTGATTCTAGTGCCACGTGAGTTCCATATAACTCACACACAGAAAACAATAAAAAATAACAAATTTTTCATTAAATTAGAAAGGATTGTTTTGTTTTTGAAGTTTTTATTCTATCTTCGTAATAAAACACCATGGCCCCAGTGAAAAAATTTTTTTTCTAGTGTGGCAGTCAATATGTTAAAATTCTTTTGGGGTGGGGAGGGGAAAAACCTTTTCATTCAGAGTCAAAGGTGAAGCTGGGAAAGTGAGTACATTTACCCAGGACACTTGACCTCGTTCTCCCTGAGGTGGTGTTTGGTGCTGGGTCCCTTCCTGAGCAGAGTGGCTGGGACAGCCCCAGGAGGCGGAGTGTGGTGGGAAAGGGGACAGAGGAGGCACGGGTCCCAGAGAGGACACGGGCCTGGCTGGTAAGCAGCCCTTCTATTTCCTCCCGAAGCAGCCTGAGTTTTGCGATGCCCAGGACAGCTTCAGGTTTAGGAAGCATCATGTGGAATCTCTTGTCGTCTCTAGGTCTTGGCAGGGTCCCAGCCCGCAGCTCAAGTCTCCTTCCTCGTGTGGCACAATAGCACTGGGGTTTCCTGTTTGCCATCGAAACGTCTTCCTGCCCCGCTACCAGGGGGCTGAAGCACAGAGATGGGGCTGAAGTGCACGCAGAGGGCTCAGCACTGTCTCCTCTGGGGCTGCTTGGTTACACTGCACATTCCCTCAGGAGACCCAGCCGAGTCAGTCTTTAACACTATAGTATGAAGCACTGTGTCAGATCACTTTCATCTCCACCCTAGTCCCAGACTGTCCTCAGAGGGAGGGGCAGGGCTCAGAGAGGAGGTGGGGATAGGCCCCAAAAGGGGAAGCTGCGGTCCTCCAGCCAGCGTTTCCTTTGCATCAGGCCTGGGGCTGGCGCTGGCTTCCTGGCTTCTGTGACATGGTGCACAAGCAGGGGCCCTTTGTGTCAGCTCTGTGCCTACACACACGGACCTTTGGGAGGGGCTCCACACTGTCCCCTTCCTTCTCAGAAATATTAGTAATGGGGAGAGGGTGCTAAATACCCAACTCAGTTTGCTTTTAGAAAATTCCATTTCTTCCTTTCTTGAAAGGCCGCTTTGAAATACATTTGGCGGTGGCCTCAGTCTACACAGCTCTATCCCTACCAGATTTCCCAGCAGTTCTCAGCCCTGGTTGTACACTGGCGTGACAGGCTTTAAAAATGCTCAGGCCTGGGCACCTTCCAGCAGGTCTGATGTAACTGGTCTGGGCTGAAGCCTGGACGTCGGGGTTTTAAAAGCAACCCCTCTCCCCAGCCCCTGCCCTGCCTCTGCTCCGGAAGAGTCTGATCAGCACGCAGAGCCCGCACCCCTGAGATGCCATGTGTCCCTAGACACAGCTGCGCGCCCCCACCACCCTCGTCCTTGGCCGGCCCTCTCACCGGTCAGGGGTGGTTCTGTGGGGTTAGCCACCCTGGGAATTCTCCGTGGAAAGCCCTTTCCTCCCCACACCTGTCTCTCCCTTCTCCCAGGTGTAATTTCTCACAGCTGGGGCTGCCTGGGTCCTATAAATCCACCTCTGCCCTCCCCTCCCCCATCCCTCCATGAACAGAGGTGGGGGTGGGCCTGGCCTGGCCGCTGCTCTATAACCAGCAAGACAGTTCGGGGAAACAAAAAACAAAAAGCAGCCACCAGATGGGGGGTTCTTCATCTCTCTTGCTCTGGACTTTGCTGCCAGGGTTGCCCGCCTTTCTGTTCCACATTTGCTGCTCTCCCTCCAGGGGGCTTTCCAGTTAATAAATAAGAGGAGAGATGCTTGGTCCCCAGGCCAGACAGAAACTGTAGGGATGAGCCAAGCGTCTTGGGGATGCTCGGAGACCAGATTAACCACGGTGTGTCCTCCGGGCTCCCCGACTGCGGGGCGTTTGGAGGAAGCAAGAGCTAAGAAGAGGAGATTCTGCCAGCTTTGGAGGGAGCTCTAATGCCTTTCCAGTCTCCCAGAGATTCTATAGGACTTGGGGTTTGCTGTCCTCACAGGAAGCTGAGCCTGTGAATTCCAAGGGCTTGGACAGCCCTTCATTTATTCTTGGGAAGGCTGGAAACACCTGTGAGTGGGGGTCTGTGGAAAGGAAGAGGAAAAGATCCTTTGTGCAACTGCTGCAGGGCTTGGCTGGGCCAGAGCTTGGGCGAGTCTGCCCTGTTCCTGTAGCTGAGGCTCACGCAGCACCAGGCCGGTCCTGAGTGGGCAGCTGTGGCCTCCCAGCTTGGGGATGGGCGTGGGAGAAGGTGACAGAGCGAGCAGTTGCTTCAGTCCAAAACATGGGGCAGGTGTCGTGGACACTGTGCCCACCCAAGTCCTCTCAATCTGTGTCATGTGTTGTGAGTGTCAACTGCCTCCTTATCCTGATAATCACTCTTGCAGGGAAGTGCCTGGGGGGTCACCCCGTCCTCCCAGGGGTGGCTCTCCGCTGATGATTGACAGGGCTCCAGAGGCCCGGCCAGATGACCCTGTGGTGCCCCCCACACCCCAGAGCTCCCCCTGG